AAAGTCGTCCAAAACAAAAACTTTATATAAAACAAAATTTTTTGACGTTGTTTTTCATATGAAGTTTTTTGTTTTGGACGACTTTTTGTTGGGTTGAGTACTAAGCCTTAGTGTCTACACGTTTCTATTTCGTTATTTCTATTTCGTTCATTCATCTACTGAGGCAAAAGATATCCGTGAAGAATTTAAAAATTTTTTTGTTTCGCCTGATGGTGAAGTGTCATGGCAATATAAACAAATATACAATAAGTAATATCTACGAAATGTTCAATAAATTGTACTACTTACCAAATTTTGAATTTTATAATTATTTCCGTCGTCATTATACCCTTGTAGAGGGTATTATAATTTCAGTCAGATGTTTGCAACGCAGTGAAGGAGACGTTTCCGACCACATAAAGTATATATATTCCTGATCAGCACCAATAGCCGAGTCCATCTAGCCATGTCCGTCTGTCCGTCTGTCCGTCTGTCCGTTTCTATGCGAACTAGTCTCTCAGTTTTAAAGCTATCGCGATGAAACTTTTCCGAAAGTCTTCATTCTATTGCAGGTAGTACATATGTCGGAGTTAGCCGGATCGGACCACTATATCTTAAGGCTTCCATATGAATATTCAAACAAATATAAGAAAATTCATTGTAACTTTGTAGTTACAATGATTCTTGACTCAATAATCAAAACGCCTACTTCCTACAAAGTTAAAAAAGTTAAAAACTTAAAAACAAAATTTAAATAGATACGCTGAATCTGGAATCCCTGGAATTGCACCGAGTGAGCATTAAACTATAGGTGTTTGCTTTATCTACAAGGGTATATAGGCTTCGGCTGGCCGAAGTTAGTCGTAAACTCCCATTTGCTGGTATAGTTGTCCGATGTACCCTGACCATTCGCTTCACTCTGCGCACCTCTTGCAAAAATTGAGTACGCAAATGATGAATTTTTCTTTTTATTTCATCATCACTTTTGTCTAATTTTTCAGCAATTTCGTGATAAGCATTTTGCTTCTTATGCCTATTTTTATAGTTTGGTCGCGATCTTACATGTTGCCTTGCTTGCTGCAACATTGCGACTACTAGCAAACAGCACATGCAAACAAGCAAGCAACTGACGCAACCAAGATAACTGTAAAATAATGTATACAGACGACAAGCAAAAAATATGGCTGAAAACAAATTTTGCAAGTTTTTTGTTTGCAGCAAAATGGTTGTACTAGTGTTTATACGTGCAAATTTGATTGCAGCAATCAACTTGCTGCAAATTGTTTGCATCGTGTGTACTTAGCTTAAAAATTAGTGCCCTAACCCTAAAATGAAACCAACCCTAAATAATAGAAAAATTTTCTAAAAAGTAGAAATTTTTTCTAAATAATAGAAATATTTGTTTTCACATGCTCTGGCACACCAAAATGTTCAATGCCAGAACTTGTCAGCTGCCGGCCGGCTGTACTCGTGGCGCAGACCGTTAAAGCACTTGGTTAGCAATCGAATCGACGCGGGTTCGAGTCCCAGAGCAAAATTTTTTAACCCTTTTTTTTATGTTATTTTATTTTTTTTATTTATTTTATTTTCTTTTTATTTATTTTTTTACTTTTTTTATTTCTTTTTTTATTGATGGCAAGCGGTAAACTAAAAATAATTAGGTTTATATTTAGCTATTTACTAAATACTACACATAATATAAATTGCGTTAGCATAAATATGTATATACGTATGTAAATAAGTAAAACGCGAATGGTCAAAATTATGCAATTAGTATTCAAATGTGTTGTCCGCTTCACCCTTTACATACAATGCTCGGTTTGCCACAGCAAGTTTAAGTGCTACAATGGCCCAGTATGTAGGCCATTCGCTCCTCGCGCGGGAGACCCGGGTTCGATTCTCACGACGGACAAGTAAAAATTGTAAGTTTTTTTCATGAATATAAAATATTAACTAATCATAATTTCTACATTCCCAATCTTCCGCAGTCCCGTAGTCTACATTTACAACCACATTTGGCTTTGGTTAGATAAGAAATCCAAGCGCAAATACATAATAATAAATACATAACCTTTAACATTCACAATATACATGACACACAACGCCTGCATATGTATATAGGGAGGAGTACATAATATAAACGTATATACAAAAAAAAATCATGATCGAACATGTTTTTTTGTTTTGTTTTTAATTTCTATTTTTTAGGAAAATTTCCTAATTTTTAGAAATTTTTGCCCTTAAATTTAGTAAAATTACCCTAAAATTTAGAAATATGACGTCAAAAAAAATCAAAAATATAGAAAAATGTGACCCTAAAATTTAGGGCGAGCTTGTCTTGAAGACAAAAGTAGGGCGATTTCCTTGACTTTAGGGTTAATTTTATTTTGAGTGTAGGGGTTTTCCGGAGTGGATTTTCCGAAATGGGTACAGAGGCTAAGCATACCCAACCTTCTGGCCCATAAATGTCTTTTCTCGAGGTGAGGATATTTTACATCGTATTATTTTAACACCTACACCGAGAAAAAAAACCGTTCTCATCGATGTTGATTTTAGTATTTTCGATCACAAAACCTAGCCGAGATCGAAAATACTAAAATCAACATCGATGTCATCTCGGTTTTGAGAATGGTTTTTAAGTATGTGTGCTATCGATATCGAGATGACGTCTTCTCGGTTTCAACATCGAATCGATGTCGATTTTAAGATACAAATTGAATAAGAAGAAGAAAAAAAATAATTGAGGAATCGGAAATTTTGCCTCTTGCACCCCCTCCTGTCACCGGCGGTGTTGTTGTTGGTTCCCCCCCCGTTTCTCAACTTATTTTTCTTTCCTTTATTTAAACACATGGATGACGTCACACTATACTATGTTCGTATATAAGAACACATTTAGTTTCAAATTTTAACTGAAACAATAACTAAAATTATTATATAATTAAGAAATGATAAATATAAAATTCAAATAACTTGCTATCTTGGGAAAAACACCTTTGGTCGGTCGTGAGAATCGAACCCGTTGCCTCACAGTTTGCAGTCAAACACTCTACTAGCTGCGCCATGGAAGCATCACATGAGGCGCTGTACAAAGTTCAATCACATTTTGTTCTCTTGGGTTCTTGGTTTTTACTCTTATTAAGCCATTTATGTGTGTTAGATTAACAAAATCCTAATTTGTATTAAATATAAATATTAATGAGTAAAAAAAAAACGCAAGGAATTTCCGCCTCGACGCGGGACTGAACACACACTTCCGACTATAGGCTTACAAAACATATAATCCGCACGCTTTAGTCCCCTAGGCTACCGATATCAAGAAGCATGACTGCCCGATAGCTACAAGAGAGGAATTCGGCCTCTCCGCCCTTTTTCTCTTATTTTTTCGATGTCTTTTCCTCACGTCCCTCTTCCACAACATAAAAACTGAGATTGACTTTGACTGGGAATACTAGAATCAACACTGCTTTCATCTTGATATCAAGAAGAAAAAAGTGAGAATACGAATACTAAAATCAAGATCGGTCGATGTTGATTTTTTTCGTTCTCAATTTTTCTGGGTGTATTACTTTTTGTTTTTATTGCTGGCCTTTCAGTATTAAAATAATTGAATGAAACTATTATAATAGATTAACATTAACAACATTAAGTTAAAAGTATATATAAGTTAAGTTATGTTGCAAAAAAATTTGCAGCAACTTGATTGCTGCAATCAAATTTATCCGTATAAACACTAGTGCAACAATTTTTTTGCAAGCAAAGAACTTGTAAAATTTGTTTGCAGCAATTTGCAGCAATAACTTACTGCAAATCGTGTGTTATTTGCATCGTGTGTTCCTGGCTTAAGTACTAGTTTTAACTTGTTAAAATAAATATTTTTCAATATTTTTGAAACTAAAAATACAGTTTATTTAAGTTTTTAAGTACACGTGCAAGTACACGTGCTTTGGGCAGCCTTCTGTAAATCTTTCACATTTCTAGAACATATTATCATGCATTTCATGCGCAAACATACAGCGCCACATGCTTAACAAGCATTTATATTTATTTCCCCTGTATAAAGAATAATTTTTTCTCCTTCTGCGTCGTGGAAATTTATGAAGGGTCCTCGAAATGGCCTACGACCTCCACCTCCCCCCTTAACCATCCTTTGCACCTTGAGGGTGGAAAAAAGTGGAAAAAGCATCAGACGAGCAAAATGGCAAGCAATAAAAATAATTGCAAATTTCGAAATTTAAGTGGAGGCGTGAGGCACGTTTAAAGTGGCGCCTCAGCTCCCTGGACCTCGCCCCCAAATCTCCAGGCCCCCGGTTTTCCCCATTTTTCCACACTTTCCAAACAATGGACAAAAACAAAAAAAATTGCTCAGCGCAGTGTAAAATCTGCGAATCGCGGTTTTCTTTTTCACTTTTCCCTCGGTTTGTGTGTGTTTTTGTGTTTTACAATCTGTTTCGCAACTCACGTAAAATATAAGGTAATTTGTGGAAATTTGATGTTTATCGTAAATTGTTTTTTATTTGTACAATGTCACCATTTTGTGGTTTGCCAGCAGCGAAAACTCACACTCACACACGCAGCCTGACAAGCAAACACACGCACACAGGCGCACACATTGGTGGTCAGAGTTGCCAGGCAGACAAAAAAAAAAAAGTAAAATCCAAAATAAATTTAATCCAAAATGGCTTCCTTTAAACGAGGAAATTGACTTAATTTAATACACTTTGTATAAGTTAAAATTGGTTAAAGTTAAGGTTAAGTTTCAAAATGTTATATTTTTAAATATTTTTTATTCGTACCTAGAAATATTTTTAGCAAAAAAATTATATTCATATTAAAATTATTATTTAAAAAAATTTGAATTTTTTTTAGCAAGTACAAATGTTACATAACTTTAAATAATTCACAAATATAAGATATTTTGTAGAGTATTCTTCTTTCGACCACATTTATTCACCACCTTAATTGAGGAACCCCAAAAAGAATGGATAGATGGTAAAAACAATTGGAAACATTTTTCAATTTACCTGGGCAGCGGACACGCCTTTCCTCCCTCCGTTGCTTACTCCACTTTTTATTGCATTTTTCGGTGTGCTTGATATTTTGGGCTTAATTGTGAAACGAATTCCCCACTGCAGAAGGGCCAACAAAGTGATGGCTATGACCAAAAGAATCGGACAGCACTCTTCGACTTTGTATCTTATCATTTTGACCAAAAAAAAGGTGTGACAAAAAAACAAAACGGAAAACACAAATTTTGACAGAATTTCGTATGCCTATCCCAATCGAACGATGTAGACAAAGTGTTTGGTTTAATTTTCATTTTATTTACTTTATAATTATCGTATATATTCTGTTTTACATTGTATAATATCGTATATCATTACGGTCTAGGTTTACAGTTAAAATTAGTTTAATTTGGTTTCGTTTCGGTTTCGCAATAAAAATGTCAGTAAAATGTTGCAAACGCCTGGCGTTAACATTTCAGTTTCCATTTGGAGAACAGTTTTCTGTTTTTAATAGTTTACATTTAGTTTGAGTGGAAATTATAAAACAGACATTGACAAAATGGACAGTTAAACATAGTTTGCAGACTTAGACTTAGGTTTATCGACTATTTTGATCTTATTTGGTTTTGGATTACAAATACATGCTTTATATATCTAGGTGGATAATGGAAAAATGCGTATGTGGTCTGAGTTAGTTTTGGGATTAAATTCAAGATCTAAACTAATTTTAAACTTTGTATAATACATAGAAATTATATCTTAAAATATTTTTAAAGATATATCTTACCCAGAGCCACATATTCAAAGAACCATTTATTATTTATCTTTTTGTTTTTTTAATATTACTGACCATAGTTTAAACATATTTTATTAGAAATAACTGCTTACATAGACTTTCTATACTCTTTGGTTTACTCTGTTTGTGTATTTACAATACCCTTAAATTTAGTTATCCTATTGCTAGGAGACATTTTTGTATGCGCAACTTTCATTCAAAAATGTAAGTTAGTTTATTTAACTTAATTTTCATGCATATTTTGTTGCGCAAACATTCCCAAAAAATACTGATGCTTTTTTCATTACTTTACTCTTCTTTTTTTGTTTGGTAAACACCAAAATAAATGCTTCAATTATGTGGATTTATTACTTGAATATTTCATAACGGAGCTGAACAAGTATTGGATTATAGATATTTACCCCCCGTCTATGTGCAATTAAGTATTCTGTGTTCTCTTTTGTTTTGCTTTTTTCTATATCACTGAGTGCTAAGGGGTTTGGTTTTTATACCCGTTACTCGTAGAGTAAAAGGGTATACTAGATTCGTGCAAAAGTATGTAACAGGCAGAAGGAAGCGTTTCCGACCCTATAAACTATATATATTCTTGATCAGGATCACTAGCCGAGTCGATCTAGCCATGTCCGTCTGTCCGTCTGTCCGTCTGTCTGTCTGTCCGTCTGTCCGTATGAACGCTGAGATCTCGGAAACTATAAAAGCTAGAAGATTGACACTTTGCATGCAGATTCTAGGAGTTCCTACGCAGCGCAAGTTTGTTTCAAAAAGAGTGCCACGCCCCCTCTAACGCCCACAATCCCTTATATACGATTTTAAAAATTTCAATATTTCGGAAAAGTAAAAATGCAGTTTTATGGTGCTTATCAATACCTATCGAAATGTAGAAGAAATTTTTCAAATCGGTCCATTCGTTAAAAAGTTATGCGTGATCAACGTTTTCTATCTCTATCTCCATCTCCCTCGCACTCCCTTTACCTGAGTAACGGGTATCTGATAGTCGGGGCACCCGACTATAACGTTCTCTCTTGTTTTTTAATTGAAAACAAGCGATAAATCTGTACAACTAAATGATTTTACAACCCGTTTTGATGGCTACAAATTTATTCGATTTTATTTACTGTCAGAGTGCAAAAAAAGAAAGGCAAGCAAATCAATATTTATATTTATGAAATTTTCATTCCAAGTCGGGTAAAAGTTTCATGAAAGTTGGGCTGACGATGATTTTTCGGTAATCACTTTTCACGAACGAAGGCGAAAAGTAAATAACAACCGAAAAAGTATTTGTAATGAACTTTTCACTCCATTTTGGTTTGAGAAACAAAATCATTTTCAAAACACCCCGCAGCTTAACATTTAAATTGAATTCGTTTTGCTGTCTGTTGATTATTCTCTTTTCCGGCTATTATGTGTTTTTATTTCAAAGATTTGCTCTCTGTATGCTAAAAGATAGTTTTGCTATTTTAGTTTCCATATTTTGCGGTTTGGTATGTCGCTGTGTAAATATTTTTTTATCTAGTTTAAATGTAAATGCAACTCACTTGGACTTTTGACTGGCAGCGTTTCGGTTTTAAAGTTTGCAATTTAATGACTCCCCATGTCTACTATTTACAGTGAACAAATTGATATTTTGTGCTCTGATTTTAGCGAGCCGAACTCGGCTTTGTGCAATGGCAAATTAATTTGCAAATTTACACAATCTAATTTTAGGTCACCGAGGGCCCAGGCGACCAATTGTTAATTTGTAATTACAATTTTTGCATTATTATTGCCCGCCGACAATGCGAACAATTGAAATTAGCAGCGCAATTAGTCGAGTTGAGCAAACAAATATTCGTTTCCAATTTAATGCCCCAGTGGAGACAAAAGCTAATGAGGAGTCGCAAAACTTTGGCCAACCTTTCCCCTTTCCATTTTTTTTCTGTGTTTGTTAGCATTGTGTCGAAGTTTGATTTTTATTGGTCATTGGTTTATTTTTGGCCCGGCCGGGTGGAAAAGCAATTAAATGAACATTTTGTCTCTTTTATTTGATTTAAACGAACACAATTTCCATATTCTGCAAAAACCGGGCTCTAAAAAAAGCAATAGAAACCTCAAAAGGTGGCTTTTGTGTTTGGCCGTCGGTTTAACAATGATTTGACCAGAATATTATGGCGATATTTTTGCAGTTTGTCACCATGGAGCCCAATATTTTGGCCACACGATCGAAAGAGTGTGGTATGTAGTATTATTTAAATGTAAATCAAATATGCGGTGGGAAATAAATAAAATAGGTTTTTCAGGTTGTTATAACAAGCAATTGGAGCCTTGCTAAAGAGTCAAAAATAATTTAAATCAGGATTTTGTTTTTTTGGTTTTTGAGCATTAATACTGTTAAATATAAATATATTTATTTATATAATTTTTTAGTATTTTGTAATAATTGCTGAAATAAATAAAAAGTAACTTTTATAAATTACTTTTAATAGCATAAGCAAAGGTAATATAGGCAACAACATTTTTTTCCAGCTCTTTCGCTAATGTAATGTAATAACTCAAAGAAGTTTAGAGTTGTATTATATTTTTTATACTTCTGTGTATTTCCTAACATACTTGTATTTTTAACTTACTACTCCTTTTTGGTATTTCTGTAGACTTTTCACATTTACATCTTTTTTTTTATGGATTTTTGGTCGAAATAGGCAAGGTTTTTCTGTTAATTTGCTTTTCATGTATGCATTGTTAGCAATTTTCACGCCACTTAAACAGCTAAAAAGTTTAATTTTTTATGCATGTGTTTTTGGTTTTATTTTTTCGCTATTTACTTACTTAAATGTATATGTCAAAATGTATTTTGTTGCCGTTTTTGTTGCGGGTTGTTGTCTCTTAACTGGCAATTAGTTTAATTTGCCAAATCCTGTATTATATCCGCTGCAACGAGAGAGGCGAAAAATCGATTTGCGTTTAGTGCGATTTAAGCTCATTAATAAATAATGGTGAAATATGCAATTTAAATTAATTAATGCGTGTGCGTGAGTGGGGGTTGGTTTTGCACTAAGCTATTAATTTGGAAAAAAAAAATAAGAGAGGTGTGGTTTTTGTATATTTTAAACCCCTATTTCATTTGGATTTTTAGAATGGGGTCAGAAGAACGGGGGGTTGCATTATATATTTTTATATTTATAGAAATTCGCTCCAAATACATTTGCATTCAATCAGCATAATGCGATGCTGAATGGGCTGTATTTTATTTTATTTCATTTCTATGTATCCTCTTAACCATATTTCATCCGCCATTATATCCTATGCATTTATATCCCACATCCATCTACCCATCGATATTATGTGGGAGTTGAAGCGTGCTGAAGACCCGGTTCAAATGCCAAAACACTTCACATTCGACGAGGTGCGACGAGACTTTTCGCAAAATATTCCCTCCCATTTTCGCGCTGATTTGAGGCGACACTTTTTATGCACTTTGACTTGCCTCTGACAATTGCGACTTTTGCATAAATACATTTTCCCGCATTTTCCGAGTCAAGTGGTTGTGGAAATTCTCGCCCGTTCGCCTGGCACACAATAAAATACTTTCGAATGCGTTTCTGATGCATTCTGAATGCTGCGTGTGTGGCCTGTGGAAAATGTATCTCTGCTGGATAAAGCCGCAATGCATTTTCCGCACAGCTTTTCCCGGCTTTCAGGTTTTTCAGTCTCCTTCTCCCACAAAACTCAATTAACGCTTTTCGGTTTCCTTTCACAAAATGTGACACGGTCGTTTGAGCTTTATGTTTGACCGCTTGTTGTTATGTTTCATTACCTAATAAACATTTTATGAGTCGGGGCCAGTTGGTCGCACAGAAAGACAGCCAAATTGGTAAATTGTTTGAAAAGATGCATTACACGGGGCCAGCCCACTCTCCTTTTCAGCCTTCGCCATTTTCCACCCACTTTTCTCCATTTGGCGCCCCGCCCACCGCCTTTCAGCAAACCATTTTGGCCAGGCCGTAATTAACAAGCTGCAAAACGGCTCCAATGGCCTGGCAATGAGTTTCCCGGCTTTACTTTTTATTCATCGTTTTTTATCAAGGATGAAAGGATGGTAGATACTTTCAAAAGAGACTTGGCCAATGCAAAGTATTTAAGCAACGTTTAAGAGTTGAAATTAATTGTAAAAGTCCTTATTCTTCATAATAATGTATATTAATATTTAAAATTATTTCAGTTTTAGTAAAACAAAAAGGACTGCAATTAAAAGGAGATCTTTGAATTTATTTACTTTTTCAATTTTTATACCCTTGTAGAGGGTATTATAATTTCAGTCAGATGTTTGCAACGCAGTGAAGGAGACGTTTCCGACCACATAAAGTATATATATTCTTGATCAGCACCAATAGCCGAGTCTATCTAGCCATGTCCGTCTGTCCGTCTGTCCGTCTGTCCGTCTGTCCGTCTGTCCGTCTGTCCGTTTCTATGCGAACTAGTCTCTCAGTTTTAAAGCTATCGCGATGAAACTTTCCCGAAGGTCTTCTTTCTATTGCAGGTAGTACATATGTCGGAGCCAGCCGGATCGGACCACTATATCTTAAGGCTCCCAAACAAATATAAAATAAAAATTCATTGTAACTTTGTAGGAAGTAGGCGTTTTGATTCTTGACTACTTAAAAACAAAATTGAAATAAATCGAAACGCTGAATCTGGAATCCCTGGAACTGCACCGAGTGAGTATTCTTTTATCTACAAGGGTATATAAGCTTCGGCTGGCCGAAGGTAGCTTCCTTTCTTGTTTTCAGGTTATTTTAATTCAATATTCAATAGTTAAGTACTATAAAATTGAAAATGTTTAATTTTTTATTTGCATAGATAATAAAATATACCTTTAAATATTTTCTTAAATTAAATAGGATGAATGTAAGAATCCGCTTTGCATTTCCCCAATTTGTTATATGGAAATTTTCAATGATTTCAAGTAAACTAAATTTATATTAGTAAATATTATGTATTTACTTGATTTAAATGTTATATATTTCTGTAAATTTATTTTTGCTTTGCTGATATATTTCTGAATAAAATAAAAATATTAAATAAAGATTGCATTTATAGCTTTAAGGGTATGCTCAGATCGTTGTGATTTAATTAGGAGTCCACCCACTATAAACTCAGTTAATGTTGACCCCTTGGCAGCCCAAAAACCCAATTTTTCCCGCCTTCTCCCCGCCTGCAAAACCGTCGTGATGATAGTCCAATGGCTTTTGTTGGCCCATAAAACATGTTTCCCGGCAATAAGATGCGTTTCGCTGGCAGGATGCCAGCCTTTGGCCTGTAGTGCTACCTGAAGTTTCCCCCGACTTGGCTCACCTCCATTTTTGGCCTGCTCTTGTATTTATGCCTATGAATATTTCATTTAATTGAAGCGCATTCATTACCAACCACACACACAGCGAAGAGCAAACAACAACCCACCAAACAACCCCCTTCTGCCTTTTTCCCACCGCCCGACGCCCATGCGACGCCACACTTTTGGCGTTGTAATTAAAATAAATTTATTACGTAAAATGTTTTGCCAAAAAATTTGTCGAAAGTTGTGGCTTTGGCCCCATGGCGTAATAAATAATGTGGAAGGTGTATGAGTGTGTGTGTGTGTGAGAGTATCTGTGTGAATGTATGTTTAATGATCTGTGTACTCTTTGTTTTTGCCACCGTTGCTGTACGGAAATTGATGCGGTTAATATGCTTCCAATTGTTAATTTTTGCATTTCGTTTTGTGTATTTGCAAAAGCCACAAAATCATACGAACCAAATACAAATAAAAAAATGAACGCACAGGGATTGCAAATAGAAACCGAAAACAAAAGCTAAATCTAATCAACAGGAATAACAAACCAACCGAGCGAGAAACCAACAAATTTAATGGATAACCGAAAATTTATGATTACCCCTCTGATTTGGCTAACCGTATTTTTCAATATTCCCGAAATTAATTCGTGTTCAATTGATTTTCGAAAGGGAAAATATGCTTAATGGGGTTTAAATGCGATTGGAAACGATCTTCCTCGGGCTCAAAATATTTTGTTGCATACTTTTGGAAACCTTTATAAATGTTTTTAAAATTGCATTTATTTTTATAATACTAGAGAAATTAACATATTCTTAACATCTTTAAATTCAATCTCCCATTTCATCTAATTGATGCCAAATGCACTTCGGTTCCTTTTCACAACCCAATCAAATCAACTTCAGCTCCATAGAAATTTAATCACTCAAACGCAGCTGAAACTGAAATTCCCGGAATTTCCAAAGCGGACATCAACACCCTAACTAAGAGAAAATGATATCAGGGAACAGCACTAATTGAAATCCACGTTAAAAGCCAACACCGAAAGCAACCTGAATTGAATTGAACCAAACGCAATGCGCTGCAATTCAATATGGCGAAGCACTTGAAATAAAAATGTTTGGCACTGCGTAACGCGCTGCGTGATTTGTATTGTTGGGAATGGACTCGTTCGGCTTCTGGACTCTGGATTACACGGAAAAAGTTTTTAAGAAATAATCTTAATGGAAAAAGTTATATTATTTACTCAAAAATATGTTCTAAAATTCGGTAGGGTTTTTATATCCCCTAACAAGGTGTCCAAAAGTATGTTGTAAAAAAATAACGCTCTTCGTCGGGCTACAAATATTTTGTTGCATACTTAAACACACCTATAAAAAATGGTTCAATATCTCCTTCTTTTAATATCGACTTCGTATTAAATGGTTTAAAATCTCCCTCTTATCGAATTCGTATCAAGCTCTTTTATTTTTATCGGTGTAGTGAGGGAGTACTAGTAGATCCCGCAAATCGGCAATTGGATTGTACAAATCGAGAAAACTCGCCAGCTAGAAAGCATTGCATACTTTCCAGCGCAATTTCGGGGGGCATTGAAACAACAGCGAAATACTTGGCTTTTCGCTGTTTTTCCTCGATTCTTTTGTTGTTTTCAGCTGCCCGGTCATCAAAGTCAAAAATGAGAAGGCAATATAGAGTGGTCGGATCTTGAAGGACGCGGCGAGCGGGTTAACAAAAGTCGGCAGGAGCCGGAGCTTTTATTGCTTTAAACTGGCACTCAAGCTCCACTTGCAATTCAACTTGAGTCCTGGGAAAAATAAAAAAAAAATGTTTGGGAAGAGGTGGTGGCTCAAAAGAAAAGTGAAGCAACTGCCGGGATCCCGAGCTCTTCTTCATCTGAAATCCTCTGCTGACACTACGACAACCCTCTTACTTCGCAACCCATCTTCGCCGATTTCGGTTGTGTTTTTTCTTGTCCCCCAAATTTAAATTTTAAATATTTATTATTTACTAATTATAATAATTTAATAAACAGTGTCACAAATGCCTCTCTAAATCAGCAAACAATTGTTCTGCTATTTCTTGTGCACGCCCACAGAATATTCAACCAAAATACTGGGACTATATGTATATATCTCTTTACTGCCATGAAAATAAAGGCTCAAAAGTTCCTTTATCAATGATCATTAAGGGTATTTGTGGCTTCGCTTCGGACCGCAGCTGTTCATCCTTGCCACTTTTTCTTTTCGCCCATCTTGAGTTGGCATATTTTCGTTTTTTTTTGGTTTGGTTTTTCGGTTCTGCTTTTGTTGCTTTGTGGCCAAAAATGCGGCAAAAATGGGGGGAAGTCGAGTCTTTGGCCATGGCTTTTGTTTTAATTGAAATGTTTTTGCTCCTCCGCTGGCTGTTGCAGCAAACTGCAGCTGCTTCTCTGTTCTAAGCCGATTAGAAGCAGTTCATAATGTATACGGCTAAATATGAAAGCTGCCCAGGAAGTTTTCCCCTCACGTTCCTTTCCTTTCCCCACCCGCCTCCTCCTAAAACAATTGTTTTGGTCCACCCTGTGTGTGGAGTGGACCGCAATCGCCGCAGTCTCTTTGTCTGTCTGTCTAATTGAAGCAGCATTTACCAGATACCACGGCGAATGCGGAATATGCGATGGCATGCAGGACGTATGCGGAACGGATATCTTATGCATAACAACACAAAAATCACGCATACGCCGTGTGTGTATTAGTTCCTATGATAGAGAGAGCATACGAAAAAACCGCAGCCATTGGTGAAAGTAAATGCATGGAGCTTCTAAAGCACTCGCAATCGCAATTCTTTTTATGCATTCCATGTGGCATTGCGGCCGACAATGGAGAAAATCAATCAATTCCTGGTTCGTTGGGGTCGTGTGTTCGTAAAGTATTCTATTAGAGGTCGATGTAAGGATCAGGTTATCAAGGTTATCAATCAGAGAAAGTGGTTCTAGAAACTCTGGATAATTATTTTTAATATTTATAACGTTTTTACTTTATAATTTAAAATTTTTTTTTTTACTGCAAGTCTTTTTACAAATATTTTTCGTTAAACAAATTTGTTCTTTGCTATTTCTTAAATATATTTTTATAAAAGTTTTTATTTTGTTTCATTTTGTCTTTATTTATTGTTAATATTGTTTGGCAATAGAAAAGATAATATTTTTTTAAACTGCCTTTTGTTTATTTAAAATAAATTGAATTTGTGCAATCAACTATGAGCAAGAATATCTATGTTTTACGGCCTTTTCCTCCCACCCATATTTCTTTTATTTTTCTCCCCGTGTACCCTTGTTTATGTTTTTTATTTATTTCTGCATTGCATTTTTCCTTCACCGATTCACTTCGCTTACAGCTGGCAGCGTTGTTTGATTTTGATTTTGTAAAATATTTTCTGCTTCAGCATTTTACATTTTTAATATCGCTCTCTCTTTCTCCCTGGTGTATCCTTCTCTGTCGTTTTGCTCGCAGTTTGTTTTGGTATTTTTCCAGTATTTTTACTAGCATATATTTCTTTTTTTTCAAGGAGGAGCGGTGATAGTTGTCGCTGCTAGCGATTTGTTGTTTTTCTTTATGGAGGGAGGGGTGCTTTCAAGGGGTTTTCCGACTATTTTATGTGCATTTATCTGTGTATGTTGCTGTATCCTGCTTCTGTTACTGCTGCTGCTGCATAAAAGGATATACAGATGCAAATTCTATACAGAAATTTAGATGGGAAATGGGGATTCGGTGAAAGGATGGTTCAGTGTGTTTGAAGAGGGGTGAATGTGGGGGTGTGTGTGTGTTGTCCCTGCCCTCCATTGTGGAAACTCCATTTTATTTATCCGAACAGCTTCAGCTCGGAGCATCAGCAAAACTCTTGGCCAAACATTTCCCAACACTTAAGTGCATAATCAATCAAACTGATTTCTCAGTCGCCTCAACCGATTTCGGATTTTCGGTCTACGGATTTGTGTCCGGATTGGATTTGTAGATGGATTATTTTCCCAATGAGATTTCCCTGCTGTTGCTCGAATAGTTTGTGCTGCCAATAATCACATTTTGTATACGAGATATTAGGAATCTTCCTACAAAATGGAAGTGATATTCATTCCCTTTAGCATCAATCGCTTGGCAATTAGTTCGGTTCTTGTTGGTCAATAAAGCTTTTCCGGAATTTGCGTTTGAATGGTCTCTATGAACACCAGATTTCCTTTTAGAAAGGAATCTTAAATGTGTAACTGATGGTTGAATATTAGAATTAAAGTTCAAAACCTTGTGAAATTATTTGCTAAATTTTGTAAAACCCCATGCTATCAAAACTATATCACTTATTCTTTGTAGTGTTATGGCAATTTAAAAATGTAATGCTTTTAAAAATTATATTAATTACTTAAAAGGCAAATATAAATAGTCACTTCAGAAATGCCTCGAAAAAACATTAACTTTAATTTGTATTTTTAACGGAATACTGTGATTTTATTCGTAAATGGAAAAAGAGAAACGTAAAAAAATCGAGAACGAACTCGCACGTAATAAGTTCCAGCTAGAAATTTATCTCAATTTCCCGAAAGGAGTTCCAGAAACTCGCTCAGCTCGCAAGCGGCTAACGGCTTCCAAACTCTCACTCTCTCTCCTAAGTTCCAATAGGGAAAGTCCAAAGCCATTTGCACAGTTCTCCCTGCGCAGATATCTATTAAGTTCGCGACGCGTTCGGCAATAAAGTTGGCAATTAATAAAAGCAGCTAGAAGCTCTTAAAAACTCGCGGAAAACTAAGAAGTGAAGTGTTAGAAAAAGTGAAAGGGAAAGAAATATTGGCAAAATGTAAGTGCTGTGTAAGTGATGTGCAAAACGCAAGGAGAAAAGAAAAGATTGAACAGATTGAATATAGAAGTGCAAATAATAATACAAAAAGAAACAATTGGAATAAATATTTTAAAGTGCAAGTAAATGAAAAAAAAAAATGAGAGGAACAGAAAAATTTAAAAAGAAGAACAATTTCTATGTATGAATACCTTTCACCGCTGGACATCGATTGCCTGTAAGTTTATCTTTATTTTTAAACACAAAATGATCCATTTTCTTATTGCCCCTCCCTTGCATTCTAACTCTGACGTCACGTGCCTTGCCTATGCTCTTTCAGCTTTTTTTTTGTATTTTTCTTGATTGAGATAAGCGCTTTCCAGTGGAAGGCTGTACATTAGGGCGGGTCGATTTGTATGGGGCCGAAAAAAGTGATGAATCGTATAGGGGGAACGTAATCTTTAAAGGATTCTAAGCCATATTGTCGAACATACTTATGGTCTAAAATGATGTTTGACCCCCCCCAAACGCGAATGAAAAATACAGCTTTTTTTGAGGAAAATATCATAGTAGTCAGCTCAGATGTATTATTAAATTTAAAATAAAAATTTGAAATTGATATTCAGTACTATAAATGTGCTGACTACTATGATATTTTTCTCAAAAAAACAGTATTTTTCATTCGCGTTTGGGGGGGGTCAAACATCATTTTAGACCATAAGTATGTTCGCCAATATGGCTTAGAATCCTTTAAAGATTACGTTCCCCCTATACGATTTTTGGGGTCCCAAATCGACCCACCCTACTGTACATATATCGAAATAAGCCTTCACAATACCTGGAAATTTTTACCTGCATACTCTCCAATAAGTATACATACATACATCACTATAATATATACACATATTTAAGTCCATGTTTATTAGTATTAACCCTTCTTAATGCAGCAGTATATCAATAAATATGAAATTGTTATATTATTTTCATTCCTACTAACTATTACACTCATAAAAATTTCTTTCTAAATTTGGAAATCTCACCTTTAAATTGCCAGCCCTTGGAAATGCACAAAATTTGTTCTTGTTTTCAGTAAAATCACCTTTTAATATAAAAAATTTCTAGATTTAAGGTTAATTTTTAAAAAACATGAAATTATTTTGTGCATTTCCAAATGCTAACGATTTAAAGAAAATGTTTCTAAATTTAAGAAAGAAATTTTGTTTACCTATTTTTTTAACATTAATAATACAATTGAAGTTATTTAAGGGTAAACTGTGCTGTGTAATTTATCGAAATGTGGTTGATAAACTCATGAAAAACACAATAAACTTACCCATTGGCTGCTGCGGTTTCGCCTGCTGCTGCAGATCCTTTCGCTGGGGCGGAAGGGGCGGTTGTTTTCCGGACTTTCTCAGGGTTCCGTACCGCTGGGCGGCCTGCAGCATTTCGTGGGGCGTCAGTTGTTGCGTGGGACTGAAGCTCTGCTGGCTGAGTGAACTGGTCACCGTGGGAATGTGTGGCGAGTAGCCACTGTAGTCGACCAAGCCGCTGAATGCCGACGGTGGGCGCTCCACATAAATCTGTTGCGACTGGGCGGCGGCCATTTGGAGGCGCCACAAGGCCTCCTGCGACATATCCCTGGCATTGCTGTAGTTGTTCTCGTTCGAATTGTTGCTCGACCCTGCAAATTACATTTCCTCATTATTATTTAGTAACCTGAGTTTGAAAATATAGAGGTGCAAAAAGAAGGTGCCAAGTGCTGTTCAGTTGCTATTTTATTTTTCTGCAGTGAGTGCGAAAACTTGAAAGTCACAGTGGCTAATTGGAAAAACACACACTAACATAAACACATTTATATTTATATGTGACCATAATGCCTGGTCATTCTCATCAGGCAGCTGTCCAAAAGGATTATTATAGCCCGGTTTGAATAGCAAAGTGTTGGGTTAAGTAGTTTCAGCCAGGATTAAACACAATTACAAATGGTCAGTTCTATAGGCTTTTTATTTTCATCATTAAAGGTGCAATAAGAATTGCATTCCATTCTAAGTGCAAATAGATAGATAGCAAATAGATTCAGCACTATCGATAATATCGATACTATCGATGGCAGGCATATTTTAATTTTTGTAGATCAGAAAGTGTTTTCTTGAAGTATAAGAATTAAAATAAACATAAGTATAAATTATATTTTGCTAAAGTGTTGTTTAATTTTCTGATTTTAAGTAATTTATCGATAGACAAAAATATCGATAAGCAATATTTAGGTGTTAGGATGAAAATAATAATAAATATTTATTATTTTTGGTTCAAGTGCTATTCAATTTTCTATGATCTTAAGTATTCTATGATCCTATCGATAACTATAGCTTTAGGTAGTTTATACTATCAATATTTTCCTAGCCCCATTATAATCAAAGCCGTTTTACACACGTGAGAATTGTATTTATAAAAAAAAACAAATAAACAAAAACTTTCACGACGAAATTTAAGATGAAAAAAACAAGTTTGGAAAATCGCCTTTTCGCACCACTTTCACTGCCAGGGATTCGCCGACTTCATTTTCCGCAGGCACGTTATGGTGGCTGCCACCAATTGCCGCGAACCGGTGACCAAAACATCCAGTTCGTTCTTCATCCCGTACTTTTGCTTCCCGTACTTATTCACCAGATACTCGAAGAAGGCATTGATGGATATGGAAAGCTGCGAATTGTCCCGCTTGCCGTTCTCCTCGCACAGAGCCCTCCAATTTCCGGCATTCCTCTTGGCCCGCTGAAGCTCCTCCATGCCGTGCCAAACCATCTGCTTTCCATCATCTTCAGCTAGAATTTCGCCCTCAAAGTAGTTGGGATTGGGTACGAAACAGGCCTCCTCGAAGCGCAGATTACTACGAATGATGGTCAGCAGATCCTTGGCATTGAACTCGTTGACCTTGTTGAAGAGCAGCACCTTTGGCTGGCGATTCGAGCGAGTTCTAGTGTAGAACCAATCGCGACAGGCCATCATGGACTCGAAGGTATCGGCACTATCCAGATAGACATTGAACATATCGTGGCGTATAAAGTCGAACTGCCCCGGCTGTTCGTATATCTCTATTCCCCGAGTAGCTCCCGGAGTTAAAAGCGTGGAATTATTCTCCAAACCCACTACATATTCGGGTTTATGACGCCTGAGGAAATCATAGGCCAGCTGTATGCCCAGCGAACCGTTCAATCTCATCGAATAATTAGCCTTGTTCATCAGCAGCTTGTTGTTCATATTACCCTCGATATAATCGTTAAAGGTGGGCACTCTATTCAGGCTAACACCAATTTGCTTGGCCTTTTGGGCCAAAACCTCACAGCATTCCGTTTGGCTGACATTCGTATAGATATTCGCCTCCGGTTTCATAATGGCCGCCTTGGCCCAGGCGATATCTCTAAGGGAATTACCCAAATTCGAGCTCTGTTCCCATCCTAGAGTGGTAATACCTATGGTCTGGGCATGCGAGGCTATATTGGTAGAATCACTGGCTCCTCCGTTTCCCACCTCCAAAATGGCCACCTCAACTTGGTTTTCCCGGAAGGCATGAAAAGCCATCACGGTCATAAGTTTGTTGTAGGATGGTAAAGGTTTCATTTGCGCCAGTTCCGTGTTGATTTTCCAAAAGAGTTCGGTGAACTGCAGATCACTCAGGGGCTCACCATCTATTCGGATCCTCTCAGTCGTTAAAAATAAATGCGGTGAGCAGAGCACCCCGGTCTTTATACCATGACATCGCAGAATACTCTCCACTATTCCGCAGGTGGAACCGCGACCCTTCGAACCAGCTATCTGTATCACTGGTATATCTTTCAGTTGCTTCTTCGTAAAGCCCGTCTTTTCCAGGCACTCCAGAGTTTGTTCAATCACAGGATCCTTTTCTTTTCTACTACTTTTTGTCGTAGCTCTTCCCGAAGTGGGTTCCAAAATTTGATAGCCATTCAGCTGTCTAACTGCATCGAGGTATGCCAAATGTTCTGGGCTCTTTTCCTCCGGTTTTTCATGATTTTCAGGGGGAGGTGATTGTGGGGAAGCTTGAGGGGGTAATGTAGCCGCCCCTTCTTGAGGCGGGGAGGTCACCTTTGGTAACCCCAATTTCTGCATCTTCTGCGCCTGAATATCCTTGCCCTCCTGCATTTTAGCCTGCATTTCCTTGAGCCATTGATTCTGTTTCTTTTGCTGCGATCCCTGCATGCGATTCATCCAGTTTTTCCGTTGAGATTCAGAAGAGGCGCCCTTAAATGCACCAGAATCTGTATCTTCATCGTTCTTTGGTTTTTCCTGTTTTTGCTGCCAAGGGTTTTGATTTCTGGGCGGTGGTGGAGCACCAAAGGCAGAAGTTAGATTACCCATACCAAAGTTGGAATTATTATTTGGAGTATATGGATTGTTGTTTTTTGGAGGACCAGAAGGCGAAGGAGCACCCTTTTCGGCGGCCAACTTGGCTTTCCTCTGCATTTCCGGTGAAACCTTGGCCAACCATTTGGCTCGCTGATCGGGGATTTTCGGTTGAATTGAGGGATTCTGGGTTTTCGGAATATTTGGTTGAATTGAGGGTTTTGAAGTTGTAACAGTAGGTTGATTCTTTTTGATTTCGGTGGGTTGAGGTGCTGGCGATTGCGATTGAGATTGCTGGGAAGCAGAAGATTGCGACTGCGATTGAGAGGGCTGTGACTGAGATTGCGATTGCTTCTTAGGCAATTCCTTGATGGCCGAGACCTTTGAAGCCTTCATCGACGGCGCCTTGAAGCTCATCTTGAAGAAGTTCTGACTCGATTGGACAGTCCATTGCAGGGTTCTTAGACGGGAACTCTGACGTCGGTACATCAACGGCATCAGTGAATACATTCCAAGGAGAAAACTTTTCTTTTTATGGTTTAAAGGTACAAGTTTACAAGTAAAATAGCCAACGAAATGTATGAATTTAGATCATGGAAATTTGTCGACGGAATTTTCTGTATCTGACTTGTGAGAATTTTTATCATTTGGTTTGGTGGTAAAATAATCAAGTGTCAGTCAATCGGACACATAAGGGAAAGGTAGGGAATATTTATTGAGTATATTATTTAACTCTTTTTAAATATAATAGAAAATTAGTTGGTGTATCTCTTTACACCAACAATCACAACCAAACTTTTTGAAGGGTTTTTTTAGTTTGTGTTTACCAACAAATCTAGAAAATTTTCATTTTTAGTTTTTAGAAATTGTTTTCCCCAAATTAGAAACAATTCTTAAATTCAACTCAATTTACCAACAAATATATTTTAAATGTTTTTATATATTCCCCCAACACTAAAAACAATTTAAAAGTGCAACAACAATCAGTGAAGAAACATCAACAGTAAAATTCGTGTAGTGGTGGTGCTCAACTATTTTTAAAAAACTTTTCTCAGTGCATTTTGTGTATACGGTGGTTAGTTTGTTGTTTATTTGCTCGTGTGGTGCGAAAGTTGCTCCTTGCCATTTTTAAGGTTTTTTTTCTGTTCCTCTTAGCTGGGGTTACCTGTGATGGCTAGTGTGGTTGTTGTTGTTGCTGCCTTGGCATTTCGAGATGTTGTTGTTATGGTGGTTGCCAATGCTGTTGTTGTTGCCGCTGTGGCTGCGGTTACCAAGGATCTTTCTCTGGCAAAAGGATCCAATCTTTCTCTTTCCCTCTCCCGATTTCCCAAATGGCTGCGTTTCAGGGTGTTGGTGTTGTTGCTGTTGTTGTTGTAATTGTTGTTGTAGTTGTTGTTGGTGGTGGGGTTGTTGGCAATGGCGATGGTGGTGGGTTGGTTCGTTAAATTGGCGCGTGCTGAATGTTGCTGCTGCATTGGGTTAATGTTGCTGCTGCCGCCGCTGATGTTGCATGTTGCTGGTGTCGCCTCAAGTGGTCCTGCTTCGGTTGCAACCACACACCAACAAAAACGACGATGAGTGTGTGTGTGTGAGTGTATGTGGGGGGTTAGTAGGAGGGCAGAGAAATAGTAATTAAGTTGACGCTTGCCAAAAGGGGAACGCAAAGAAAGAGCAACAAAAGCCCGCGAAACCCACAATTAAAATGCATTCTTGAGGGCAACACTCAGAGAAAATGTTGTGAGCTTAATGTTATAAACCATTTAATGTTTTGCCAACTTTGATCCTTTACTGGTTTAACTAACTAAATTTAGATTTTATAAAAACATATTTAGTTTTGGGAATAATTATTAAAATTTATACTACCAGTATTATGAAATATTTGTGTATAGAATAGCATTATTAAAATTCGTAAAAACCCTTTAAATCAAAAAAAAATGTATTTTATAATACCTACTAATAAATAAATTTAAATCCAAATTCTCGCAGTGTATTTCACCCCTCCATTTCGCTTTTAAACTTGTAGCTTTCCATTTAGGTGTGAACAGAGTTCCTTTCTTTATTGTTCAACATTCCCCCTTTCGGTTCAAAAACTCAGGTGGGCAGAGTTAAAGAATAAGGTGCTGAGAAATACTCTCGGGTTTGGGTTAAGTTCTCCGGCCTAATCGGATTAAAGACTAAGTGGTGACCTCTTTAAGGGGATTATTTGAGAAAGAATTTGTATATTCAAGTTGCCTAATTGCGTTAAATTTGTTTATTACATTTTTTTATGGAGTTGTTCAAGTCGATTTTGTGCGGACTTTATCTGCTCATCTAAGCCAACTTGTCGCCTTTGCCTGTTGCTAATTGACTTTTCTTCGCTTGTCTCCTAGTGGAACAGGCGACTTGAAACTAAAACTTGACAATTTGATTTGGAACTGGAGGCACTAAAATGTTCAACAAATTGCCTTGTAAAATATAGAACTTTAGGGAGGAAGATTAACTGCTGTTATGCAATTTGAGAAAATCAAAACGACAGAGAAAGATATTAATTAAAGATATAAACAGCTTTTCATACTCCTTCACTAAAGTTTCAGGCAATAAAATAAATAATATTCTTTTAAATAAAATTAATAATCTTATTTTGTTTCTCAAAGTTTAAGTAAATATATTTCAATGTTCTTGGAGAATGTGATTTAATCCGGTGACATTTTTGTTGTGCCAAAATATCTTTGATAATATCAATACAATTATATTTATTACTTCAGGATACCACCAGAGGTCCAACTATTAAACACAAATTAATTACTAAGTTCTCGAATCAATTTAGAGCACAAATCAGTAATCCCTCGAAATTCCTACAGTGATTTCTCAAATCTCTTGGGCCGCCCTGTAACCAATTAAAAAGCCTGGGGCCATAATACAGAACTTGACCCGTACAGTGGACATTACAGCGAGGGAACAAAGCCAGCTGAAGAAGGATAACGGTTTAATTCTCACTTAATTGGAATTACGACGGCCAGCAACTTTTCAGCCGCTCCCGTTTCTGTTTCCGTTTCCGGTGGCGCTTTGCGTTTTCCGATTGGTGTCATTTCGGTTTCCAAGGCGAGCTGCTTATGCCCGACACCAAACACCATGGAAAATCTGATGGTCTGATGGCCAGCTCGGGGGAAAAGTCGTGGGAAAATCAGGGGAAAGGGGGCAGGGACAGCGTTGCATTTGCATGAGTAGCTGGGCAAGTGGAGGAGGAGCCGCTCTAGATTGACATGAAATGCAATTACGGCCAAAAACTCGGGCCTGCGGGGAAACAGGGACACCCATCGAAATGGCCGCCATAAATCTGCGCCGAAAAATGTGTCGCTTAATCAAGACACACACACGCCCACCGAAAGGCCCCTGGAAACCCCCAGCAGCCCCCGAAAAACCCCCGGAAAACACAATCCGCAACCCACTTTTCTAGCCACAGAGCCACGTCTCTTCATAAGTTGTCGCCTGGCTGAAGCGGAATTCGTCCAGCTTCACACAGTCAGCGGAAATTTTTTTTGTATATTTTAAGAATTTATGAGCACTAGTTAAGAACTCGAAATGTTATATCTTGAGGTTCTTAATTTGATAGGATCTTTCTAATTATATTTAGAAAATTTAATTGGTTATTATAATTACTATTTTGAAAAATAAATTAATTTTGTTCCTCAATATTTGTGCTAAGGAAATCTCTTCTAAAAGCAATGTTGTAGTTAAAGCTTTTGTCTTTAGTCGAGTTTGTGGCCTTGAGATTTATAATTTTAACTCTTTAAATTTGGAAATGGTTTTCTTTCTTTGTAGGAAGCATTTTAAGCGGAATTCGTCTAGCTTCACACAGTCAGCGGAAATTTTTTTTTGTATATTTTAAGAATTTATGAGCACTAGTTAAGAACTCGAAATGTTATATCTTGAGGTTCTTAATTTAATAGGATCTTTCTAATTATATTTAGAAAATTTAATTGGTTATTATAATTACTATTTTGAAAAATAAATTAATTTTGTTCCTCAATATTTGTGCTAAGGAAATCTCTTCTAAAAGCAATGTTGTAGTTAAAGCTTTTGTCTTTAGTCGAGTTTGTGGCCTTGAGATTTATAATTTTAACTCTTTAAATTTGGAAATGGTTTTCTTTCTTTGTAGGAAGCATTTTAAGATAGCTCTTGATTTTTATTAAATTAAAAAAAATTCTGAAATATTGTTTTCGATGGCATTTAGTAGTAGAATACATTTTCCCATTTTTGATACTAGAAATAACACTAGTTTACAAAATAATATTCTTGGTGTGCTCCCCAGCAATTGATGGCAAATTCTGTTAGTGCTGGACCCCTAGATCACAAAAATAGCACTTATTTTTTTTTCGATGGCACAGTTTTTTTTTAAAGATTTTTTAAAGTTCGAAATGTTAAATTTCGGACTTTTTTCGAATTTCTTCTTATATCTCGGCAGATATCCACTCGGTTGGGCCAGTTTTAGTTTTATTTTAAAGTCAATAGATCAGAGCTTAACTTTGCCATACAGATCAATACGATTGGATGAGTAATGGCAGCGCAGAAGCTCGACAAAGATGAAAAATGTGTTTTTTGGTCGTCTGTAAGTCGGCTGTATATATCGTAAAAACTCGAAATAAATCCGTTGAAAAATCATAATGGGTACAAACTTAAAGCTTACATCCTACCGAATAAAACAAGCCGGATATGGCCCAAATCCATGGAAAACTGGATTTATGGTGGATTTTTAAAGTTCGGATTTTTCCACTTTTTTCGGTTGACAAAGTCCAAATTTTAGATTAATCATAGGCGGCGACATGTAAACAAAAATGAGTGGTGACGGCAGCCGGGTCAAAAAATAGCTAAATTTAAAAGCTAGAAAATTATAAAATAAATTTAATTTCTGAAAATTCTTTTAAAAATATAAACTTGCTTGCGTTATGACTGTGAGTATTTTTAACTAAGTACTATCCATTTGGATAGTTCATTCTTATGCAAAAAGTAACCTTAATTAAAAAATTAAATTCACTTTAATAATTTTCTAGCTTTTAAATATCTGATTTAGCTATTTAGTGACCCGGCTGCCAACACCAATTATTTTTGTTTACATATCGCCGCCTATGATAAATCTTAAATTTGGACATTGTCAACCGAAAAAAGTGGAAAAATCCGAACTTTAAAAATCCACCATAAATCCAGTTTTCCATGGATTTGGGCCATATCCGGCTTGTTTTATTCGGTAGGATGTAATCTTTAAGTTTGTACCCATTATTATTTTTCAACGGATTTATTTCGAGTTTTTACGATATATACAGCCGACTTACAGACGACCAAAAAACACATTTTTCATCTTTGTCGAGCTTCTGCGCTGCCATTACTCATCCAATCGTATTGATCTGTATGGCAAAGTTAAGCTCTGATCTATTGACTTTAAAATAAAACTAAAACTGGCCCAACAGAGTGCATATCTGCCGAGATATAAGAAGAAATTCGAAAAAAGTCCGAAATTTAACATTTCAAACTTTAAAAAATCTTTAAAAAAAAACTGTGCCATCGAAAAAAAATTTAGTGCTATTTTCGTGATCTAGGGGTCCAAATCTAACAGAATTTGCCATCAATTGCTGGGGAGCATTTCGGCTGTAAACTAGTGTAATCCTAATGACTCTAATAAAAATGGCTAAGCTCACTTGCCTACAGTTTTTGTTTTTTTATAGCTTAAGTACTGAGTCAAATTTTTTTCAAAATTAAAAAATATTAATTTGCGTTATTTTTGAAAATTTTAAGCTTTTTTAAATAAATCAGCTGTTTTTAAAATTTCCAAAGGTTGTAGATTAAATGGCACCGCTCCTATAAGTATGTTAATTTCCTTTCCCATTTTAATGATTACGCCTGCAATTTTTTCTCTGCCTGTACTCACACTCTCCGGCGCCTAGTCCGTGTCCATGTCCATTGCCATGTCCGTGGGATCCGTGGGAACCGGCTGCTGAGTTGGCAACGGAGGGCAGCACTTGATAGCTGTCGCTGTCCACGCCGATGGCACTTGTCACATGATAGCCGTAGCCGTTCGAATGGGGATTGCCTACAGAGCCACCACCCCCTGCACTGGAACCACCTCCTCCTCCTCCGTAGATGCCCAAAATGGCTTTGGGCTGTTGGTACTGGCCGTGGTTATTGTGGCTGTGCTGCTGCTGCTGTTGCATATTCAACTGCTCATCGGGATCGTGGAGGGCTGTCAGGGTTAGTTCCATCCCCCCATTTCCACTTCCTATATCCTTGGAGTCCAGACTTCCAGTGGGATAGTAAGGAGGTGGCGGCGGGAGGGGCTGCTGCTGCTGCTGCGATTGCTGGGGATCCTGACTCAGCGAAGGTCTTCGGCTGGCGTCCAAATCAAGGTCGTACTCCTTGGCCACCGCAGATCCTGGATTAGCGGTGGTGTCATCTCCTGCCCCGCCCTCCTTTTTGGAGGCATGCCGCCGGCGGCAGCGACAAAAGGCGTAGAGAAGAGCCGCGAAGACGAGGAACGAAAACGAGGCGATGATGATGGCCACCAAAGCGGAGGTCGTCATGGAGGAGTTGTGCGGCATGTACGACTTGCCAACTGAAAAGGGATTAAGAAGGTTAGTTTGAGGGATTTTTGATTGTGATCTTCAAAGTCAGAAAGCCAGTTTTGGACTAGAATTTGTCTAGCCAATGGGGACATTTTCTTTTGTAGGTTTTATCATTATGTATTTTTACAAACTAAACCTTTTTAAGCATTTATTTATGTTATTTTAGTTTACATTTTAAAATTTATAAAAATAATTTAATTTTATAATAATAATAATTTATCTAATATTAGAAGGTATTAGTTTTTAAATTCAAGGTAATATTTTATATTTTAAAAAATATTTTTCTATGCGAAAATAAGAATTTTTTTCAATACAATTATCTGCAAAACAGGTTTTTTAAGATTTAAATAATTCAAAATAAATATGATATTTAAAATAAAATGTAGTTCTGAATCGGTTTTTCAAGTAATCTCCTAATGACACTTTATTTTTTTTAGGTATAATAAATATTTTAAAATAATAAAGTAGAATACTCACTTTCTGCATTGGCATAGGCTCCGCAGTGTTCGTGATTGGACCGTAGGCAGAGTTTGACCCTGACGACTGGCCCAGGACCGGCAGTCTCAGCCAAGGCCATGGTGCGATCCTCGCCTAAATGTGAGCCACCACCCACTACTCCCCCTGAAATCACCCCACCACCCAGACTCCTGCCCGAAGTGGTGGCTGTAGTATAGTGGGCAGGTCGCGACATGTGACTGATGACGGCCTCCTTGAAGGTCGTTTCACTGCCCGAGGGAAGCAGGGTCAAGGTCTCCACAATCTCCCACATGGGCACCGTGGCATCTCGAGTGACCAGTGATTCCACCACGGCAATCAAGGATAAACAGGTGGCCGCCACGTTGATGCCCAAAACATGTGAGTTGGGATCATAGCTCACATGCAGCGGCGGTGGTATTTTACTCACTTTCGTGGTGGCCAAAATCTCATTCGAATAACCCGAAGTTCCCTTGGAATTCAGCGCATAAACCTTGAACATGTAACTCTGATGTTGATCGAGGGGCGCCAGCTTACAAGGATTTTCCTTGAAGCAATTGAATTCGATCCATTCGTGGTTCGAGTTGCCAGAAGAGCTGCTTATTTGATAGGATGGAATATAGCCATGACCCGAGCAATCAGCCAAAGTTTGTTCCCTCGGAGTGGCCACTCTTCTGTAGCTTACTAGGTATTTGGTATTTCCAAAACCACCATTAAATCCGGGTGTCCAATTTAAAACAGCATAATTGTGACCCACTTCCAAGATCTTCAAACTCGTAGGTTTTTCCGGCGCTCCTTTGGGTTGCAATCGTATGGGAGCCCTAATGCTATCCAAAGGATTAACAGCCCGGCAAATGTACTCCCCATAATCAGAGTGCTGCAGGTGGGCTATCCTCAAGATGGAGGTATATACATCATTGTTTTCCATCCGGGTACTGATTTCATAATGACCATCTGAAGACATGGTTAAAGGCGAAGGATTATTACCATATTGCCATTGAAATTCGGGTTTCGGATAGGCTTGAACCCGGCAAACCACCTCTGCAGATTCCCTCAAATCAAAGGCTACCTTATTGTACTGATGTATAATAATGGGTTCATGTTCGATACGAAGATGCATTGATGAGTTAGCTGAATTTACATCATTTTCATAGAGACACGTATAGAGTCCCCTATCGTTGGGCAACAATTGATTGCCATTGGGTCGGGCTTTTCCCCTGAATCTTAGGATACTTTGGACAGCCACCACTCCAGCACCCGCATCCGTGGGTGTAGTTCTTATATCGAACATCTTGCGGGTGGGCAAAATCTCAGTGCCATCCTTAATCCATCGAATTTGAGGAGTCGGCTTTCCCTTGGCACTGCAAGTCACCGCATAATCCACATCGCCCACTCGTCGCGTCATATGTTGTTGCAGCTTGGCCAGAAATTGAGGAGGCTGATGGACCTCCAATATAATAGTGGCAATCTTACCGATTCCCAACTCATTCACCGCATGACAATGGTACTTTCCCTCGCTGCCCAAATGAGCTTTGGGTATCGAGTATTGGGGTCCTTGTGCGAGGATCTTTTGGGTATTTCCTATATCACCATCCATATCCCTGAACCATCTGTATTGGGGCACTGGCCATCCAGGGGGATTTGCAGAGCAGGTTAGGGTCACACCATTGCCCACATGAACCACGGGTTTATTGGGCGTTATATAAGCCTGTCCCGGGCGATGACGAACTAGCAAAGCCACCGTTGAGTTTCCCACACCCTCTATCCTCTTCGAACTGAAAGGTTGCATAATATTCACCGATCTGCAGATATAATTCCCTGCATGTTCGGCTCTCACCGAACCGAGGGTTAAAAGTTCCCCTGTGTAGCGAAAATCGGGAGCTCCTTCCTTCAGCCATTCAATATTTATGGGCGCGGGATTTGCGGTGACATTGCAACGGATCAAAACGGTTTCTCCTTCCTCCGCCTCGTGAGTTTTCGATTCAATAACCACAATTGGGGGATATAGAACATCCAAGACGATATCCTTTTCACCCGTTTTGCCCAAACCATTATCGGCACTACAGGTGTATTTCCCGGCATGATGGCGATTCACCCTATAGATCGTGTGAATGGGCGTGGCACTCACATATTGCCCGTTTCGAGACCATCGCACATTGCTCACCATCGGCTTGGCATCCACTCGGCATTCTAATTTCGCCACATGATCGCGTTCTACTCGGAGAGGATTCTGGGGACCCACCTCCACGCGGGGGTAGTCTATAAGAAATACAGAAAAAAAGATACATTGATAAATATTATTTACATTTTTAGTTTAATATATACACAGATAAAAAAATGTACGTAAAATTGTTTCTTTTGCCACTAAATAATTTATAGTTTAAATTGAAAATTTAATTTAAAAAAAGATACTATAAAAAAAATATTAAAATAAATAAATTTTTTCAGTAAAATATATACACAGATGAAACAAGAGATCCACATAAATTATGTATTACCAGCTTACATTTTCATTTACTTAAAATTAAAATTTAAGTCGTATTAAATAGTCTATTGTTGTTATTGCAAATTTATAAAAATTATATTAAAAAAAAATAAATAAAAAAATAATCATTATACTTCCCAGCTAACAAACAGCTGGCCTTATTTCTATTAAATTTAAATAATCTTCCCTATCAGTATTTATGTAAAACAAGTTAGCATTTGACCATCAGTAATAACGGCAAATAATTGCAAAATCGTTGGCAGCATAGTTTATAATTTATTCACTCTCTCGCTGTAGTTATTTTTTCGGTTCATTTGGGTTAGCATACAAATAGGCAATTACAGTAGCTGGCTTAGATTCCAAGCCCCTCCTCGTTAGTTGACTACTGGTTGTTTGGGCCATTAACTTGTCAATAACCGTTTTCAATTACACGACGACGGCAACATTGTTGCAGTAGGCAAAAAAAACGAAAATAAACTTTAGTCCATTGAAGGACGTTGACGAGTTCAGCGTGACCCATCGACATTTTTAAATAATGCCATTTTGTGGAGGAAAAAAGCAATATATGCTTACTAGGATGTATATTGGGCAAATGGCCCTAGAAATGGCCGCAAGTATTTTTGTACAGTGGTTGAAGCTTACTGGAAAGTTAAAAAAAAAAACTAAACTAACAAAATGTTGAGGAAAAAAAGCTAGTTTCGCAATATTAAATGGGATTTTTATGTCCTAAAAATAAGCTAGTTTTGAATATTATTTTTGGTTAGGTTTCAAGTAACCTTAAATTATTTTACCGAATTAAAAATATGAATTCTCGCTCATTAAATTTTTTATCTTTTATACTTCTGTTCAAATAGACATTTTTGTATTTCGTACAATATTCAATTCAATTGCTAATGAACTGTTATTCATGTCAATGGCAGTTATTTTATTATTATGCCGAAACAATAATGGGGAACTCATAATTGAAATGTCGACGACGACCACTACACTTTATTCGATTCCCACTTTCAGTTGTCTTTATCTGTCATTTATCTGCCAACTTTTCCCATTTCCAAATGTCTGGGAAAACCTTCCTTCACCTTCCTCGAAAGAAAAACCCTCGATTCTCGAACATTTCACTGACTTTTAGTCGTTTAACTCACCATTGTGCGCTTTGGTCATTTGGTTTAAGTGCCGTTAGTTTCATTCCGTATCGAATCGGTGGCATTACCCCCCCACCCCGATTTTTACCATTTTCCCACCCACTTACCACCCCCATTTTTCCCGTCGTGAAAAGCGCGTTCAGTGAAGCGTGAGGCATAATAGTGGCTAAGTATAATTGTTGCTGTTGTTGTTGCGCCAATTAACTTTCGAACACTTTAGTTTAATCACCGTCTGCCCAACTGAACGGAGTCTGACCTCCGACCTCCTCAACCCCAACAGCCACGCCCCCCTTTCAGCCATTTGCCCACGATTACAGCTGATATAGCCCATTGTTGTTGGCCGTCGGGCCTGCCTTTGCGCCCAATTGTTTTTGTTGGCTCTAATTCGTGAAGCGGAGTAAATGTGCCTGCGTCATGGTCTAAGCTCCGAGGACCAACCAAATGGTCAGGAAAAAAATCAGCAGGATTATTTACGACAAATTATAGACCTGGGGGTACCTGGTATTAATATTTTGGTAGAAACAAGTTAAGTAAGGTCATAAATATTAGTATATATTAATTGCATCATGCAAGTCTATCAAATGTATTTTTCCAAGAAAAAATATTTCTTTAATGTTAATAAATTTAAAAAAATAAACTTTTATAAAAATAAATCATTTAAATCCAGTGTTAAGTAATATCAATTTAAAATGGATCCTTATATGTATTTTCCAATTTTAGATGTGCCAATAAGTATTTATTTCAAAAATAATACTAATTTCAGTTAAATTGTAAACTAGCTACTGCATTAAATTATTTAAGGAATTAGAAAACCTTGTTTTTTCTACTTATTCAAACCCTGAAAAGTAATCCTTCTGCCAGCACAAATACCCTAGAAAAGTGTAGAAAAATGCTGCGTTATCCGGGACCCAATTACGCGTTGCCCGAAAACATTAAAGCCTAACTCCTAAATGAGGGGCTCTATGTAGGGGTGTGTTGGTGTTTGTGTTTGCTGGTGTGCGTGTGCGTATGCCGGTGGTTGTGTGTGTTTGCTGGTGTGTGTAATTATAAAATAAAATTTAATGAGCAGAGCTCCGACCAGAAAAACAGAAGCCACCGCGGAGGAGGAAGGAAAAAATCAAGTTTGCATTTCAACACATGCTGTTGCCACCCCAAACCCCCCACAAAAAATGAAAACCCCCCAATTTGCGGAGAAAGAGGAACCCTCGGGGCATTTTCATGCCCAGCCATCCATGTAGTTTCACGCTGATGTTGGGGTGTTGCTGCCACGCCCACCCCCTCCCCTTGCCGCCCCTCCTCCAAAGTGGTAACCTAGTCCAGAACTCTCGCTGTCCTGACATTTGCCATGGTCCTTCTTTTTTTCGCATAGTTTTATAAAAGCAAAAATGTTCAAGGAAGGAGAAAGAATTAATTCTATGTCTTGAGCTGGGAATAATGATTTGGGTATGGTATTTGTTGAATAACATCTTAAATTCCAAGAAATAATTGTGGTTCTTCTGGAAAAGGAATTTGAAGAAAAAGCTGTGAAACAAGTAAAAAACTTGAAGGGGTTGAGACGTTCAGTTAATTAAGGGAAAAGATTTGGGTGACAAAGAAATATCATTCTAAATTCCAAGAAACAGGTTGGTATAAATATCTTTAAATTATCTTTATCTTTACAAATCTATTTGTTACAATATGTTTATAATATATTTCTTAATATTACCTTTGAAATTTATTTAATTAAAATTCTAGAAAGAGCATTCAAAATTCATTGATTTGAAAATAGACTTATACATTGCTCCACATTTTTTTCGCACAATTTTTTAAATGAGTTGCCTGGGTTGGACCTTGTTCACATGTATGCTGGCACGCCTACAGCTACGCCTAGAATATTTTCCCCTGCCATATTTCGCCACTCCTTCGCCTTGCACATTGTGATTTTATGACCGGCTACATTAGTGCCATGAAATATGCTCCGCCTGCACCTGCAGCACCACCAAAAACCACCTGGCTTCACCTGCTACACACATACACCCATCGCGAAGCCCAACGCAATCCCAATCCACAACCAAAACCCAAGCCGCCTCGACGAGATCCTGGCTTCCGGCTAGGCAGCGTTAAATAAAAATGAAACGTTGCGCATACGCCGCGTTGGCCGTGGCGTAACTTATGCCCGCTGGCCAGTTTTGCAGCGAAATTTAATTATTTAACCCGGAACTGGGCCGAACTCGGTGGATTTTTTTTGTTGCAGCTGGTTTGCTGGTTTCTCGTTTGCTGTTTCAGGATGTATCACACACACCTGCTCGGAGTGATTTTAATGAGTCGAGTTTGCAGTTTGGCTTTAAGCTTTTCCCTGGTTATGACTCGCCCGCATGGCACGGTGAAAAAACTACCCCAAAAAGTGCACAATAACAGCAATATTTTTCCCCATTAAACTGGGTACCAAATTATAAAATTTCAGAAAAATATTAAAGAGTTTAAGATACTCGAGCTTTAGTTCTTTAAGAATTTATTTTCCTTTTTAAAAAACGTTTTACTATAATACGCGACTTTATAATTTTAATTTAAAAGCCATAGACTTTTACTTTGAACAAACTTAAAGTATTCTTATTTTTGCAAATTAATATTTTGTTTAAAAACATTTTTTTAAATTGTTTGATTGCATATCAATCATATATAAATAAAAGTGATTTAAATTAAGTTGACAATTGGCCACTGATGTTCCTAAGATTTTTTTGGCAGTGCGATTATGACTCCACCTGCAGTTGCTGCCTTTGTTCAGCTGGCATTTTCCGCCCCCTGCTTTCCATCTTGTCCAAATTGAAAAGTTACTACCGACAAAGGCGGCAAACCAAAGGAAGGGGAAAATGGAAGGGAAAGTAGTGGGGATGCAGCTGCCGCCGATTCTTCTGCTTCTGCTCCTGCTTCCCCTTTTTCCTTTGCCTGCTGTCGCGTACGTGTCACAGTGAACACATCACGTGACTTCCGGCACGCGTGCTTTCAACACCTAACCACCACCCCGTTTCTACCAATATTCTCCCCCCTACGATTTCCCCACAACCCTCTGAGCTTTCAGAGGCCAAAAGAAAAATAAATATCAAAATGCCTGAGGGAAAATGCGTTCAAATTAAGAAACCGAACGGCAGCAGAGATTTATTCCGACTAACATTGAAGAAAGGAGAGCTGAAGTCAATAACTAAAAAAAAGTATAGCTCTTAAAGCTGTAGAAAAAATTCATTTTCTTATCGAATTTTTCCCTTCCAATATCAGAAATATTAGTAGAAAAATTTTAAATATTTTATAAGCATATATATATTTCAGTTTCAAATATTCCATTATTCTTTTAAAAAAAATGGAAATAATTTATTTGTATATATTTAATTTCTATAATTTTTTTGGCCTGCGTTTTTAATAGACATCGACTTTAACATAATGCCTGCTTCTCGGTCCCTATTTTTTCAACAAAAGGCCACTGAAAATGCCACATCGTCGAAATGATCGATATATACAAACGGATTTAAAATAAATCAAGCGGTGCCCGCACGAGAGTGTAATCATTATGCTGCGAATATTTCGCACCCTCCCCCTGCACTTTTGGCCCACTTTTGTGGGCCCCCGCAATCGATGGCTTATAAAAACTATAGCATACT